GAGGACCCATCTTTTCCTCCTTCCCTTCCTTCTTCATTCTCATTCTGTGTTATCTTGGTGAAACAATTGGGTTCCAGGAGTCTATGGCTACCCCAGGCGTATGCCAGTGGGATAGGCTTAAAGATTGCTGTGGGACCAGTACAATGAAATTTTCATTGTGAGTACTGAAACAGAGCCTTGTTCTCCTCTTCCAGGCGAGAACCTGGATGCATGTACTCTGAAACTGCTGCCTCCACATGCAACATGTGAGTGGCATCAGAGCAGCAGAAGGCAGAGCAAAGAGAGAGGAAAAGAAGCAAAAATCTCATAACATTATAACATTATTTGAGTCCTGATTCCTGCCATGCTTGAAACTAGATCTCCCACTGGACTTTTCAAATGTCAGCCAAAAAATGTCCTTTTGTGCTTAAGTCAGTTTGACATGGATTTTCTGTTACTTGGAATCAAAAGACTTCTCACTGAATCACATTAAGTTATGTTCCATATGTACAACTGGATTTTATACATGAAGTAGATATAATTTTTAATACTGATAATTAGTTATAAGAAATGAAAAAAGTAAATTATAAAACAATGTCATATCTCATTTTTATAATATAATATCTATATTCTGATATAGATATATTTTTATATGGAATAAAAAGAAAATGGTCCACAAAATATTAACAGTGCTTTTCTAGAGGTGGCAGAATTTGGAGTAATCTTAATTTTGCTATGCTTTTTTTTTTTGAGATTTTTTTTAATTTAAAAGAAGCAAACTACTAATATTTCTCTGACCCTTTCTTCTTCAAAGACAGAATGAAGGACCTGCTCCATCCTTTAAATCTGAGCACCACCAGTGTTCAACTTAATGACTGGTCGATGGCCTGACCATCAACTGGGAGTGGGGATGAAGGAAGGGGACAATATCCCTTTTGATAAACCCCCAGATAAAAGGACTTAAAAAATTAAAAATTCTTATAGGATATCAAACAAAATTACAATTTCAGAGGAGAGTTTTAACCTTTTCAAGCATTTCAATTTGTTCGAATAAAATTGATAGTTATAGGAACAGTGATGAGTGAGGCTCTCATAAATTGTTATAACATGGTCTTATTTTTTTATAAAGTTAGCTGAAAGATAGGCTTGTGGTTACACCTTAGAAAGGAATGGCAGAAGAAGAGCCAAATTTCAGGACGGTAGAGTCTGCCAGAACAATGTACTGTAAATTAAGGGTGGGAGAATACATTTGGCTCAGTTCAGAATCCACTCACCCTTTGTATTCAATGAAAAACTGAACTCAGACCTTTTGATATCTGAGTTCCATTTACTCTTGGCAAAGGCCACTTCTCTGGTTCAAATTAAAAAAAAAAAAAAAAAATGGCCCAGAGGGTTTTTTGGACATCAAATGGTTCTTACACAAACATATTGATGAGCTAAGTGTAAATGAATCAGAAACTTAAAGAGTAAGTAACTCTGAAACACACGGACCCTCCCACGCTGTAGCTGAAAAAGAAGCTCAAGGAAGCACTATGTTTGTTTATTCTTTAAAGGAGTATTACTTTTTACCATATTTTATCCCTTTCTCAAGAAGTCTTTGAGAGACCTTTGAAAAATGTGGGAAAGGAAAGGGAGTGTATCCAGCTATTCCTGATGTTGACTCCCCACAATCCTTTCTTGGCTATGCCTTGAAAACTGAGCTTTGGATAGTGGCAGCATGGCCTGGTCGTTGAGGTCAAGAGACAAGTTCTGGCCTGGCCCTGCCACTAAATAGGCGTGTGACTTTGGAACCAGCAGATCACCCTCTTCTCTGATTTCCAAAGAATTCAGGTTTGACCAGCAGCTTCTGAGTTTGCTATGCATTTAATCAAGTCCTGATCAAAAGACTTGGAAG